GGTCGGGCGCGGCGGCGCGGCCCCGCAGAGACCTCGCATCAAGCCCGGCGTCGCGGCCGGGGCAGCGCGTCGGAGCGCGCGGGCGCGGATTGCCCAGCGTCGTCGGGCGCGTCGGCGTGGCCGCGCGCAGAGTCCGGGAATGCGCGGGCGTGGCCAGCGGGCGCCGTTGGGAGCGTCGGCGCGGCCGAGCATGGCTGGTCTAGGATTCAATGGCGCGGTCGGCCCTGACTGTGCTGCGCGCTGGCGCGGCCCGGGCAAGAGCGGCGGGGCGCGCGGGCGTGGCGCGCCCAGCGTCGTCGACTTTCCAAATTTACAGGACTTGTGCCGGGCCACCGCCGCGGCAATCTCGGCGCGGGCACCCCGAGGGCCCCGTGCTCGCCAGGCGGGCGGCGAGGCCCGCGTGTTTCGGTGCTAGCGAGGGCCCTGGGCAGGGTTTCGTTTGCAAGGCGGTGCTAGCCCTGTGGGCTCCGCCGTGCAGTGAATGGGGCCTTGTGCCAGGCGCATGCAAGCTCCTTGTCTTGCTCCTCCCCCGCCTCGCTCGCCTTCATGCTTCTTTGTCGGTGGCCGCCGCGTCTGAATCATAATGTAATTGGCTTCGGCCCATCCCGCCGCCGTGCCTGGGTTGTGGGTCAGAGGGGTCATGAAGGAGGGCGGGGGTCTCGTGGTTGGCTTTCCGAGGCCCGAGGGCTTCTGGGCAGGCAGAATTTTGCAGCGTCCTGGGGACCGTTCTGTGGGCTCTTGTGACTTCTTTTGGGTTTCCTGGGGGCTTCTGCGCGGCCTCTTGGCCGCCTGGGAGTTCTCGTGCGCCTCCTGGGGCTTGTAGGGGGCCTCTTAGGGGGGGGGGCTGCGAGACAACCTGGTGTCTCCCCATTGCCTCGATTCTAAATTCGGCCGCGTTCGTAGGGCGTCTTTGGCAGGGCCGCGACTGTCCAGCCAGTCGGCCTGGCGCGTGTCGTCCACGTTCGCAGGACAGCCTTGGCCGGACCTCTGGGCGTAAGCAGGTGGCCTCCCCTGGCGGCGGCCACCTCAGGCAAAATCTTGGCTTCGGCTGACCTCCCAGGGCCTTGCGGTCAGGTGGCGCCCGACGGAGGGGGGCGCCCCGCCTGTCCAGGTCGCCCCTCCGCTATTGCCGCCTTCAACCTCGCACTTCGGTGCCCTCCCGTCCGATCCCGTCCGCCTCGCCCGTCCAGGTAAGAATCCCCCTTCCTGCCCCAAGGTCCCCGTGGCCGTAGTCGTCGTCGTCGTCGTCGTCGCCGCCTTCGTCGTCGTCGTCGTCGTCGTTATCGAAGCGGTCGTCGTTTTCGTCGCCTTCGTCGTCGTCGTCTTCGTCGTCGTCGTCGCCCTCGTCGTTGTCGTCGTCCTCGTCGCCCTCGTGGATGACCAGCGTGATGGATCGCGCATTACTTGAATGTCCCGCCCGACATTGCCCGCCCGCCAATATGGGACCTCCCGCCCGACTCGGCCAGCCAGGTCCGCTTGCAAGACCCGCCCATTTTTCCCGCCTGACCGGCCCGTTAGGGTCCGCCCGCCCGGCCCGCCTGTTAGGTTCGACGTCGCCGTCGCCGCCCCTTTCGTCTTCGTTGTTGTCGCCCTCGTCGTCGTCGTTGTCGTACTTGTCCTTTTTGTCACAGTCGCTGTTATCCTTGTTGTCCTTGTCGTCCTCGTCGTCGTTGGCGTCGTCGTAGTTGTCGCGCCCTCGTCGTAGTCGTCGTCCGCGTCGTCGCCCGCTTGGATGTTTCGTTGGATGTATTGCACCCTTGTGGAAATGCCGTTTCCGACGCGACCCGCGCCTGCGTGGCCGCCCGTTCGGCCTGACACGCCCGACAGGGTCCGCCCCCCCGACCTTTTTGGTAGGGTCCGCCCGCCCGACCCGCCCTAGGGTCCGCCCGCTGGCACGCCCGTTTGGCCCGTCGTCGCTGTCGTTGCCTTCGTAGTTGTCGTCGGTGCCCGCCTCCACGTGGCTTTCGTCCAGCTCATCGTCGACGGCGCCTTCGCCGTTGTTGTCGTCGTCGCCGCCCTCGTCGTCACTGTCGTCGCCGACGTGGTGGTGGCGGTTGTCGTCGTCGTCCTCCGTCGTCGTCGCCGTCCTTCGCAATCTTCGTCGTCGTCGTCCTCGTCTTTGTCGTCGTCGTCCTCGCCGTGGTCGTCCTCCTCCTCGCCGTGGTCGTCGTCCTCGTCGAATTCGTCGCCCCTGTGTTTGTCGGCGTTGTCACGTCGTCGTTGTCGTCGTCGGTGTCGCCGGTGCCCCCATGGTTTGCCCAGCTGGATGCGTAACGCACTACCTATAGCAATGCCCCATTCAGCCCAGCTCACCCGCCCGCTAAGGCCCGCCCGCCCGACCCGCCCGGTCGGGTCTGCCCGCCCGACCCGCCCAGAGCGGTCCGCCCGCCCGGCCCGCATGTATGGGTCGTCGTCGCCGTCGTCGTTCCCGTCGTCTTCGGTGTCATCGTCGTCGTCGTCGTCGTCGTCGTCGTCGTCGTTGTCGTCGTCATCGTCGTCGTCGTCGTAGTTTTGGTCGTCGTCCGCGTCTTCGTCCTCGTCGTCGTAGTCGGCCACGTCCTTGTCGTCGGTGTCGAAGTCGTGGTCGTCGTCGTCGTCTGCGTCTAGGCCGTCGTCGTTCGCCTCGTTTTCGTCGTGCTCGTCATCGCTGGCGCCTTCGTCGTCGCCGTTGCCGTCGTCGTCGTCGTCGTCGTCGTCGTCGTCGTCGTTGTGTTCGCCGCCGTCGTCGTCGCCGCCGCCGTCGTCGTCGTCGCCCTCGATGTTGTCGCCGCCCTCGTGGATGTCCTGTTGGATGGATTGCGCTCTGCTCCAATGCCCATCTTGGCCCGACCCGCGTGCCCGCGAGGGTCCGCCCGCCCGGCCCGAGTGTTTTCATTTTCCCAGTAATTCTGATTACCTCCCTCGTGTTCCCCCCGGACCAAAAGACCCCCCCAGACCGCCATGCCGCCCCCAAGACTACCAGGGCCCCCCCCCGACTACAAGTTCCCCCCCCGACTACAAGATCCACCCTTTGGAGTGCAAGGGCGCCCCCCCCCAGGACTAGAGGGGCTTTTTGTACGTGCACCATGCAGTCTCCCCGGAAAGCAAGACCCCCCCTTGACTACAATGGCTCCCCCGCAGACTACAAGGGCCCCCTCCCGGATTACGTCGCCCCCCCCCCAGACTACAGGGGCTTTTTACGTGCGCCAATGCATCTGTCCATAGGATAACGCGACCCCACCTGACTACATGCCCCCCCCCCCCGGATTGCATGGGCACCCTCCGGGTTTGCAAGGGCCCCCACCTGGACTACAGGGACCCCCCTCGGACACTAAGGCCCCCCCCACCCCCCCTCCGACTAGAAGGGTCCTTTCATGCAGGTCAATGATCTCTCCCATGAAAACGCCCCCCCCCGGACTACAAGGGCGCCCCCCCTCTCGATTGCAAGGGCCGCTCTACATAGAGGACCAGCGCATCCTTTCCCTGGACCCCTCTCCGGACTACAAAGGCAACGCCCCAGACCTCAAGGGCCCCCCCCCCGGACTGCAAGGGTACCCCCCTCATAGTCAAATGCAATGCCCCGGGGGAAATTGACCCTCCCCAGATTGCAAAGCCACCGCCCCGGACAACGAGGCCCCCCCCTCCCCCGAAGTACCGGGCGCCCCCCAGAATCTTATCATATTTCATATTTTTATGTTTTTATTTTTGGGAAAACGTGCTTTCTATTTTTCCATATTTGTAGGAACCTGTGTTTTCTCAATTTTCCTAGGAAAACGAGATTTCTATTTTCCCTATTAGTAGGAAATCAACTGCTGCGGCCTTGTCATTCGATTCCGGGATTACAACACTACCGTTGTTTCGTCTTCCTGTCATCCGCGGCCGTTTGAGTGGTCTTCGGCCCCTCCGTCGCTGCGTATTATTGTCTCGTCTGTCCCTCGTCCCACCCCCCTGTCGTCCTTTTTCCCTCGCCCTCGCGGCTGGTTGGTTCCGGCGTGTCGTTCCCTGTTCATTCGTTGCCCTGGTCATCTGCTTCCAGTTGGCCTTATGCCCCCGTCGCATTGTAGCATCGTCTCTTCCGTCGTCCTCTTCCGACCCTCTTGTCATCCATTCGTGGATGGAGTTGCACATCGTGGTCTCGGAGGGTTCGGGCGTTTGTCGACGCGCGAGCACGCGATTGCTGGTCCAGTCTTCCTCCGCCTCGTTGCTGCGCGCTGTGCCGCGACGCCAAAAAGTGTGTGTGTGTGTTTGTATGTGCGTTCCGTGCCCCGTGCTCCGTGCCGTTGGCTCGAGCCTCTGGCCCAAGCCTATCTGGTTCAAGCCACTTTGGTTCGAACCGTTCAGGATCGAGCGTGCCCCTGGTTTAACGGCCGCCGTTGTGCGTGCATTCGGCGGTGCGGCCGCCGTGAGCGCTCCGCGCTGCCGCTTCCAATCCAGTCGATCCGACGCGGTATCGGTTTCGGCCGTCCCGACGCGACGCACCCGGGCGCAGCCGATCCGATCTGGTTTCGACTCCGTAATACATGCGCCCGGATCCGATTCGACCCAGGTGGTTCTTGGCCCCGATAACATCGAAAAAACACCCCGACGAGGGTGGGGGTGGGTTGTGCCGTTCTCCGCTTCGATTCGGCGAGTTGCGCGTGCTTCTCGCGTCCGCTTGCTCTTGCCCTCCTCCCTCGCTGTCGTCTCGGCGCGCTTGGACGTTCGTGCGGGTGCATTTCCCGCGCGCGCGCGGTCCTGTGCGCGCGCCGCGCGTTCGCAGACATGGGCGGCGCCGCGCCCCAGGCACCCCGCCGCATCCATCGAAAAAGAGAAAACGGCATCAACATAAACGTTCGACGGTCCGCACGGATTTCTTGGATTTGCGCTGGACTCCCTTGGCGGCGCATCCGGCGCCGCCCCTGGCGTGCTCCGCGCGCCAGGGATGGGGGTCAAGCGCACATTCGAGAATATCGCACGGACCCTCCTCCTCCTCCTCCTTCTCCTCCTCCTCGTCCTCTTCCTCCTCCTCTTCCTCCTCCTCCAGCCCCCCGACCCGCCCTCGGCCCCAGCTCCGCGCGGCCTCGCGCGGCCCGCCGCCGCCCAGGACCCGGCCCCCGCAGACGGGGCGGGCGCGGGCCCAGTGGTCCCTGGGTTTGTTTGTCCAAGCAAGCTGATGTTTGATTTAGTTCGGCGCTAACTTGTTTGTTGCTTCCAGCGCCGTTGTGTCGCGTTCTCGTTTCCTCGCCCAGATTCCGAACCGTTTTCGAGCCGATGCCGAGCGTCCTTCGGATGTCCGAACTGCCCAAGCCGTTTTGGTTTTCAGTTTTTTTCCGTTTCGGGGATTTTTTTTTGCGCCGTTGTCATGATCAAGAGGCAGCTTCTGACAACTGTAAAACGTGGGCCTGTCGTTTCCAGTGCCCACTGAGGCCCCCGCAGATGGGGCGGGCGCGGGGAGCAGCCCTCGATAGATCATCGTGGAGCGTGTGAAGAAAATCAGTTACACAGACATGAGCTTTCGGAGCTCCGTGTGGATTTATCGGAGCGTCGCTGGGGCCATATCCGACGGGTCACCACGTGGTATTTTGTCACAGGTACGGTGGGCGTGGGGTGTATACAACATCTGAAAACATATCTGTATCGGGCCTGGTCCGGCCATCGGCAGCAGTAGCTGTGTTTAACGTATCAGATATACCGTGTACGATTGATGTATTGACTCTCTGTACCGATCGGGGCTAGGATGATGATCAACATGTTTCAGAGCGTTCCGGAACGCTCTCAGAGCGTTCCAGAACGCTGTCAGAAGGCCGCGGCGCCCGAAAAGGCCTCCAGAGCCGCGGGGTAGTAGAGATCCTCGACCTATCCTCACCCGATTCCATGCTTCGTCTTAAGCGTGTCAGATCTACCGTGTGCGATTGATGTAGTGACTCTCTGTAGTGTTTTCGCTCGTATTGGTAAACAAAACCGTTCAGGGTCTTCTGCCGCCAAGGATGTACGAGTTGAAGGCCCTGGAGCTCGGCGATGGCACCCATATGCAAAACAACTTACATAGCACATTGCGTAGGGACACTGCAGGTGCAGTGGTGCTACAGCTCGCGGTCGTTCTCGAGTGCGACGTGCGACACTTCACAAGCGAATTCTCTTCTCCCATCCCCGATTCCCTTCCCCCCAACAAAGACTGCCCGCTCAGACTGAGGGGAAACTCGGGGATACCCCGCCCGCCCCCAGGAAGCTACCTGGACGTCTAGACGCAGCCCATATCGAGGATGGGCGCCACCCACCGTGTATCCTTGAATTTGGTCCAACTTTTCTGTCCAGTCGAAAACCTCCGCAACGCCAGGGATGGGGGCCGCCTTTCCGCCCGTTCTGTTTCGATGTTTACTCCCCTCTGCATCACTGTAGTCTGTTGCTGTGCACGACATCCACAATGAGGTGGTGGAGGAGGAGGAGGAGGAGGAGGAGGAGGAGGAGAAGGACCTGAGGTGGAAAGTTTACATTTAAAACATTTCAGGCCCACTGTCTCGGGCGCGCGCCTTGTGGCAGGCATGATTGCCTAGTGCATATGTCTTGTTGAGTGCACCGCCGATAGTTCCGTATCCCCTCCGCATCCCTCTCTGGTCGGAGGGCGCCACCTATACTCCTGCACCGATCCTGGCCCAGGATTGGTGCACATGCCTTTGTCGCCGAGCCAGGAAGGCGTATACACCGACACCGATCCTGGCTCCCACAGGGTGGGCCTGGCCAGGATCGGTGCAGGTGTGTAATTGGCGCCTCCAGGTCTTGGTCCTCGGAGTCGCTCGAATGCGATTGCACGCCCCCGGGAGTGGCCCCCCGTGGAGCCCTTGCGCGGACTTTCGACCCGATCCGATCCGATCCTCGCAGACCTCGTCGACCCCGCCCGCCCCCCCCGAGGATGTCGGGTGCTGGCAGGGGCCCCGTGCAGCTGCCCAAGGGCATCCTTCCGGATGGCATCTCGCTGCCTCCAGGTCTCGGGACAGAGAGAGCCAGAGAGAGCGAGAGAGACAGAGAGACAGAGAGAGAGAGAGAGAGAGAGAATGGAATGTTCGGATTTGCTCGTGCCTGCCTGTCCCTCCTGGCTCTCTCTACTGCGTGGCACCTCCTCTCCATTTCCTATCCGCAGCGCAGCTCAGTGAGACTGGGCTCAACCCGAAGGTCTTGATCCCTCCTTCCTCACTCCTGCATTCTCCTTCCAGCCTGCCCTCTCCACTCCTCCTCCCCGTCCCCGTCCCCTTCCTCCTGCCCCTTGCACCTCCCCTTTCCACATCCCCCCCCCTCTCCATCTCTCACTACCGTTTCTTGTTCCCCTTTCATCTTCCTGCCCCCTGTCCCATCCTCTCCCCCCCCGCTCCTCACCTCCCCTTGTCGGCTCTCGCTTCGCCTACAGCGCCGACCGGCCGTTTGCTTCGACAACGATCTCGGAGGTGTCTCGAGAGTGGCAGATGCCAGTCTGGGCCGCGCTGGCCGTTTGCAAGGAGGCGGTTGATACGGCATCGCCCGATCACGTTTCGTAGCCGAGCCCATGCTCATCCCCACCCTTATTTCGCCATCCTCATCCTTATCTTTATCTGCGTCCTCGCCATTTTTCTACCAACGCCATCATCCTCGGCCACTGTTGTCTTCACCCACCTAGCTTGCACGACACACGACACTATTTGTTTTCAGTGGTCGAGATTCGCAGGCCCATGCTATATGCATACCTGGCCACTCACATACACCCGCTGTCATCCAGACATCGACCGTCACCCAATTACCATCTCTGGTTGGAATCCCACATGGTAGTGCACGGTGCGTTGCATTTACACATATTTCATCGCTTGCAAGTGCACATCTGTGCAGTTACGCATACATGTATGTGTGTTGTGCTTGTTGCTATCGAGCCAACTGCTTCACTCATGACGTATTTCGCATTTGTGTAGACGGCACTTGTCGTTCAACTTTGTTGCTATTTGTTGTCTGTGTCACATGCGTCATTTGTCCCTTTACCATCCACAGTACTCTCATGCTTGTTTTTGCAACAGGCTCTCTAGTGCCAACGTCTGTTCTGCGTCCCGTAGGAGAAGGATGGCGCCTGTTTGAGAGGATGACGAAGAGGGGAGAAGTAGGAGGCTCTTGGTAGGCTATGGTGGCAGATTGTGCCTGCAGTTGTGGGGGGACATTCTGTACCCATGCAGCCACTCCGCGGGCCTCCCCTGAGCCTCGGAGAGGAGGCGCCCGCTGCGTCCTCCTGGGGACCCAGACCTCCGACGTCGTGTTGTTATTCTTCCTTCAGCGTCCCCCCCCCTCCCAGAGGTCTGGACCCCTTCCCTTGAGCCCGCTGTTCGCCCCGAGCTCGGGCGTTGCTTGATGGGGGGCGATAAATAGGAGGGAGGAAGACAGGTGCACTTTTCGGGACCTCAGGCTCCCTTTTGGGCTCTTCAAGGGCCTTTTCGGGCCCTAAGAGGTTATTTTTTCTGCAGCCCTCGCTGCCCCCCCTTCATCGCCCACCCATGTACGCGACGCCCAGCGAGCCGTTTTCCGACCGGAAGGGCAGCGGCATCAGGCTCCTCCGTCCTGCCCCGTAGGCACCGACATCATGGAGTTCTGCCGCGCGCTGGCCGAGAGCGGCGCCGACTTCGCGGAGCAGTTCGACCGCAACTCGGCCACGTTCCACGGATGGGGGGCGGGGGGCGCAGTCTGCGGTGGTTGTTTTCGTCGGCGCCGAGCGAGGGGGGGAAGTGAGAAGGCGAGCGGCGAGCGAGCGACGGCGAGCGAAGGCCTCCCCAGAAGGCGGCGGGACTTCTCAGAAGCCCTCGCGCCTTCTGAGAAGTGTTCTGTGTCTTCGGGGACGGCTTAGAAAACTTCTCAGAAGGCCGGGGGACTTCAGAGCCCTCTGAGAAGGCCCGCCCCCTCTCACTTCCCCCTCGGGCTCGCCACCGATTTCGAGCACCCGAGCGCGCCCTCGCACGCTCGAGCTCCATGGTCTTGGCCCTGTCCTTGGGCCTGCAACTGCGGCTCGGTCGCTGCGTCATGGGGGAGCGATGCGTGCGAGGGCGAAGAGAAAGATGTACGTTCCTGTGTACCTTAGAGACCCTGAAGGGGGCCTTCTGGGCCCCAAACGGGGCACAGAAGGCGCACGCTCCCTTGTCCACCCGCGCGGCGCTCCCAGGGGCCGAATGAGAAGGAGCAGGCCTTTTCAAAAGGCGGCGGCGCTTCCCAGAAGCCCTCTGGCCACTTGGGAGGTTTTCTGTATCTTCGGGGAAGGCTTAGAGACCTTCTCAGAAGGCCCGAGGCCTTCCGGGCCGTCCGAGAAGGCCCGCCCCTTCTCGGACGCTCGGTTGTTCTTTGGTCGCAATTCGGCTCCCGGGTGGCCGTTCGGGACGATTCGGGCACCCCCCGAACGCTCTCGCCGAGGCGCAGCCGCTGGAACGCATCTCGAGGCCGGAAACCTGTCAAGAACCAACGCGAACGCGCGAAATCTTCGAACCGCCAAGCTCACTTCCCCCCCCGCTCGCCGCCGATCGTGCCGCGCGGGCTGTCTCCAGGGTTCAGCCCCGAGCGAGGGCGAGGCACGCAGTCGCGGGGGCAGGCTGCGGGACCGAGGCCGAGTGGTTGCTTTCTCGTGTCGCTGTCTCGGACGGGCCCGAGGCTCTGGCCCCGCCTTCGAGTAGGGGATGGACTGCAGAGTTGATTTACCCCAAATTGTTCTTCTCGTCTAGTCAAACGTGGAATCTTCGTAAATCTACCAGCATTCTACACGCTTCACATGGATTTGACCAACGAATCAAATCTGGGGTACATCAATTCTGCAGTCGATCCCTACTCGACGCCTGGGTGCGTCAGCCCAGGTGGGCGACGGAAGAAAAAGGGATCGTCTGCGCTGGCATCCGCGCGTAAGCTGCCCGCGTAAGGTCGCGCGTGAGCGCCTTCGTTCCCCACGCGGTGTTCCGCGCTGGCGGTCCGCGTAAGGTCGCTCCCTCTTCTGCCTTCCTCATCTCTCCCAGTCCTCTTGACGGCGAGCCCGAGGGGGAAGTGAGAAGGGACGCGCCTTCTCAAGAAGGCTCGGAAACTCTGGCTTCTGAGAAGTTTTCTAAGCCTTCCCCGCAAAGAAAACCTCTCCGAAGGCCAGATGCCTTCTGAGTAGCCCCGCCGCCTTCTGAGAAGGCCTTCTCCTTCTCACTTCCCCCCCTCGCTCGCCGCCGATCCTCCCTCCTCGTCCTCCTTCTCATTCTCCGCCCTCCTCCTCGCTCCCCCCTTCTTCCTCGGCCTCCCGAGTCCTGAAATGACGGCGACCTTGCGGCCTCGATTTTTATGATATGCGCCGGATATCTGACCTTCGAGTCAGAGCTCGGGTCTCAATAGGCTGTTCGGGACGATTTCGGCACTCCAGAACGCTCTCGGCGAGGCGCAGCTGCTTCAACGCATCCCGAGGCGAGAAAGCCACCAGGAGCCGACGAATACGTCCGCAGACCTCTCTGTCTCTCTCTCTCTCTTGCTCATCCGTATCTCCTGCTTTATCGCCCCCCTTCAGGGACTCCTGGCGTCCTCACGACCGAGTTGCCCCATTTCCCTCGTTGTGCGCCCCCCTCCCGCCCTCCCAATCCTCCAAACTGATTTTTCCAATCCGCGCCCCAGAGCTCCAGACCCCTACTCTGGGTGCACTTTTGCATCCAGGATCCGTTCTTGGTGATCCCAGGGCCCGATGACGGGCCCCGGAGGCCGAAATGACGGAGAACCGCCCAGAATGAGAGACTCATGTCGTTGGGGGCTGGGCCTTCTCTCCCTGCTTCCTCTCCCCTGGAGGACAAAGCACAGCATGGGCATGAACTTTTGGAGCGCGCATCTCTTGGGTCGGCGTTGGGTCCCCCTGGCGGCGCCGCCCCTGGCGCGCTCCGCGCGCCAGGGAGAGGGGCCTAGCGCCGACACACGAAATCGGCGCGGACCTCAGAGGAATGATGATCTTGTGCCGCTTTTTGTTCCTCTGTCCTGCTCCCTCGCCCCACCCCGAGGGCCTCCAGTCACCCTGGGCAGCACCGACTTCCAACACCTACCGGCAACATCCGACCATTCGGACATCGACGCCATAGCGAGTACACCGCGCAGTACGCCAGCCCCTGCCTAGCCTCCGCGCTGACTTCGACCGCATTCACCGAGGGCTGCGGCCCACCCGCGCTGGCCTTACAGGCCCCACCTTTCTCGGGGGTGGACAGACCCCCCACCCTGACACGTCGATCAGTGAATTGGCCGCTTTCGGTTCTCGAGAGGGTGCCGCGGCCGTCATTCTCCAGGCTTGCGCCCGCCAGGTTTGCGCCCGAGGCCGTTTTCACTAGACCACGCTTTCCTGAAGGAGGCTCTGTCCATCCCCGACTTTCGGCGGACACCTGCGCGTCTGCGTTCAACGGCACCGTAACGGGTACTTACTAACGGGTGCTTTGAATTTTTGCCGAAAGTTGCCACTTTAGGGCCTTTCTCTTGCATTGCAGCTTTGCCCACATCGGGAAGGGCTGGGTTCGCTGGGTCACTGGCCGTTAGTGGAGTCCCCGTTTGAGGGGCGCTGACACGCTTTCCTGAAGGGGGCTCTGTCCATCCCCGACTTTCGGCGGACACCTGCGCGTCTGCGTCTCCCTCGCCCCGCCGGGGGGGGGGGCTTCCAAGGCGGCCTCACCACGGAGGTCCCCCTCGGCGGAGCCCGCGTGCCGGAGTCCATGGGCGGCGAGAGCGCGGCCCGCCCCCGCCGCCGCCCCCCCTCCTGGCGGGGCCAAGGGGGCCCCAGGGCTCGGGTCGGACGAGGGGGGGGGGGGCCCAAGAGAGCGCCGAGACGGCCCACGAGGCCACCAGGACGGCCCCAAGAGGCGTTCAAGACGGCACCAAGACGGGGGGCAAGCGCGGGGATCCAAACCGGCGTTTTCGAGCCCAGGCGCCAGGACCCCTGGGGAGGCCCCCGAGGCGCCCCCGAAAAGTCCCAAGAGGCTACCAGGAGAACCCCAACAACAACCGGAGAGGCCCTGGGGGGGGGGTGGCAGGGGAAGGCTGGAGCCGGCTGGTGGTTTGAGGGGGCGCAGCACTGGCTCAGTCCAGGGAGCGAGAGGGGGCAGAGGTTCGAGGGTCTTTTTTTGTCCTCTTCGGTCTCTGGAGGCCGTCTGTGGGCCCCGGGGCCGTCAAGAGCGGATCTGGGGCGAGAAGCTGTACGACCCGATGGTCACGTTAGCTCGAACGGGTCAGGGCAGATTCGGCGCAGCGTCGACAGGGCCCGGGTCAGGTTAAGTCAGGGATTTGCCAGGTTAGGGGGGGTCTCGTACCAGAGGGACTCCCTGGAGGGTCCGGGTACACCCTAGGCGATGCTTAAGAAAACCTAAGTTTTCGTCCAGAGTCTCGATTATTCTTAACTTTTCAATGTAAATCCCAAGATTTTGATAGAAGTTCTGGGTTTTATTCAAGTTCTGAGACTATGAATTTCTTAACCCATGATTTCTTAAGCATTTCGCAGGGTTATTGATTTTGAGAGGATCTGCCCTTACCTCCCTCCGTCTTGACCGATGTTCTAGGGG